AGGACCCGAGTCTCCTCCTGTCAGGTGTGGGCGCCCTGGCAGTATCCTAGTCCATCCTCTTCGGAGGTTAGAAAATGGTCGATGGCCCTCTTCCAGTAAAATCTAGCCATGGGAGACAACAGGTCTACGGGTTATGAGCTCACAGCTCGGTTGATGTAGAGCACCAGCGCCACGCATTATCTCTGACGGTGGAAGGACACCTCCGGGTGTTCAATGGTTTGCTACTGCCTGTCTCAAGCCAGGCAACCCCTAGTCAAATTGGTGCAAACCCACCAAAACCCACCTGTGTCTGGCCGTATTCGCAGGTGTATCCTACTACGGTCGCAAAACATATATGAATCGTTCCAGAACCTCAAAGGCTGTGTGTGACGGCCATCAAGCAGATCCCAATCTGTCTCTGGACTCATATTCCCGAGCTTGATCTGCTCCGCACTGACTTATGGGTCAGGCTATTGAGCCAAAGGCTCCGGGCGGAGTCCTTCAAGCAAACCTCCAAACCACCCAGTGCCTTGTGGGTCAGGCTATTGAGCCAAAGGCTCTAGGCGGAGTCCCTCAAGCAAACCTCCAAACCACCCACTGCCTTGTGGGTCAGGCTATCGAGCCAAAGGCTCAACGCGGAGACCCTAAAGCAAACCTCCGAAACACAACCGCCATCACCCTTGCGATTGCCCATCAATGCAATCGTATGCCTGCGCGCAGAACACTCAGCATCGGGTGGTGGAACGTGCGCATAATACTGGACCGGAACTCGAGTGAGCGCGGTGGAACTGGCGCGCTTCCACATAGATATCGTGACGCTCAGTGAAACCCGGCTCGCTGAGCAAGGTAAGTTGCATGAAGCAGGTGCTGGCTACACATTCTACTGAGTGGGCAACGCCGCCTCAGCACCACGTGATCATGGGGTCGGATTTGCAATATCCGATCGCTTCCATGGCCAGCTCGTAGGTGAACCAACAGGCATCAGCTCGCGACTGATGACTGTTCGCCTACGACTCGGAAGAGGTAAGTTTACCACCTCCATAAGCACGTACGGTCCAATTGTGTTATCCTGATGACAAGTGTGTTCAATTCTACACCAGCTATCCGTGATAAGGTCTGTGCCGAGAACCATCCGACTATTTCTGCTGGGTGATTTCAACGCGCGCGTTGGGCGTGATACATCAGCGTGGATAGATGTTATCGGTCCGCATGGCATTGGTTCAGTGAATGCGAACGGTCACAGGCTGCTCCCACTATGTGCCACTCACGAACACTCGGTTTGCACTGAGTGCGAGTGATATAGCAACTTGGACACACCTACGGAGTGGTCACACTCACCTGCTCGACTATGTCATCGTACGTCAGCGTGATATGCGTGAAGTGCGCATGACACGTGTACTGCGTGGAGCTGAGTGTGGCACTGATCACAAATTGGTGGGCACCAAACTGTACATATATATTCGTAAATCTATGTGTTGCGCTCCCGCCGTAAATCGGCGTAAATTTGACATTCTCTCCCTCGGTACTGTGGCGAAACGTACTGAGCTGGAGAAGGCGATGGTTGCACGCCTGTGTGATGTGGACTGCATAGCCACACTGAGCGACCTGTGGCACCACATTCGCGACCAGGTGACAGCTGCCGCCGAGGAGACCATCTGGCGTGTAAACTGTAAGCGTCCTGATTGGTTTGATGAGAACAATGCGACGATTGGCGCATTGGTATCGGGGAAGAATGCAGCATTTGCTGCACATGTGGCGGACCCCAGTGATTTGGGGAAGAATAGGCAGTTTCACAAACTTCAAAAGCGACTGACTCGAGAGCTCCGTCGCATTAAAAGTGCATGGTGGACGGACAAGGCGGGGCAGATACAATGCTACGCTGAACGTCGCCAACACAAGGAAGTCTTTGATTCCTTGAAGGCGGTGTATGGACCGAGGTTGGAGCCGCTGAGGACACTGATCGATGGTAGTTCAGGCGCTACATGCACACAGACTGCAGGCATAATGGAGATCTGGCGAAAACACTAACTGTCTCTTGAACAACCGTTCAGACATCGACTGGCCTACTTTGAATGAACAGAAACAGCGCGATGTCAAGTTGAGTCTGGCAAACGCGTCGACAATGGATAAGACGCAGAGAGCACTTGCTCAGCTGCGAAACGGCAAGTGTGCTGGGGCCGACGGGATCCCGCCTGAAGTATTGAAACACAGCGGACCCGCGTTGTTGACTGCGCTGCACCACTTGGTGTAAGGCGTATGGATTGAGAAAGAGGTGCCTGCTGAACCGAGGGATGTCCTTGTGCCGACACTGGCCAAGGGCAGCGTGAGCAAGCAAAAAGCTACCATTTATCGTGGTATCAACTTGCCGAATTTTGTGGACAAAGCGATTGCCTGAATCCTGCTCAACCGCCTCATCAGTCAGGTTGTGGAACCGAACGTTCCGGAGGAGCAATGTGGTGATAGCGGCTCCTCAGTTGCAGCAGAAACGCAGAGAGCAATACCAACCAAAGTACTCGTTGTTTGTTGATTTTCCCCAATTCATTTGATACGGTGAACCGCGAGGCATTGTGGCTGGTGTTGGGTAAGTTTGGTTGCCCGCGTAAGTTTGTAAGTTTAATTGAATGTTTTCACAGTACTATGCGAGCGAGGGTGCAGCTGAGTGGAGAGACCTCGGATGACTTTGCAGTTGTCACTGGTGTAAAGCAAGGCTGTGTCTTAGCTCCTGCCCTGTTTAATATATATCTTCATGCAATGATGTCCTGTGCTTTTGATGCCGCTTGTGCTTATGGTGTTCGTGTGGAGCACCGTATTGATGGTGGGTTGCTGAACATCTGTCGTTTCGGTGCGAGAACTCTAGTCTGTGAGACAACTATCCGTATGTTGCTGTTTGCTGACAACTGTGCGTTGATTTCACACAACACGGATGAGTTGCAGCACATGACTAATGCTCTGGCTTCGACAGCGGCCAAATTCGGGCTCACCATCAACACAAGCAAAACTGTCTGTCTCTTTCAGCCTTCACCAGAGGTGCAATCTTCAATATTGCCGCGAATCAGCCTTCGTGCTGAAGTATTGGAAACCACCTCCCGCTTCTGTTACCTTGGGAGTGTGATGTCGACTGATCAGCAGCTGCTCACTGAGCTGCGTATCCGCGTGTTGAAGGCAGCGGCGGCATTCGGGAAGCTTGAGTACCGAGTGTGGAACAACCATCAGCTTAGCATTGGCACGAAGCTGATGGTGTACAAATCCATGGTACTGTCCATTCTTCTATACGGCAGTGAAATGTGGACGATGTACCGTCGGGATGTGCGATATCTCGAGCGGTTCCATCAGCAGTGTCTGCGACGAATTTTGCGGATCGGCTGGGGCGCCAGAGTTGCAGACACGGAAGTGTTGCGCCGAAGTAAGATGTATGCAGTGGACTGCATACTTTTATTGAGACACCTGAGATGGCTCGGTCATGTGAGCCGTATGGATTCGACGCGGATACCGAAACAACTCTTATACGGTCAGCTGAGTATTGGGAAGCGGCACGTGGGGAAACCAAAGTTGCAGTACCAGGACATGATTAAAGTGAGCCTCCCACGTTCTAATCTTGACTGCAGGTCATGGGATCGAAGGCGGTTGATCGGCATGCATGGCGCGATCGGATCACGAAGGCAGCTGCTGAGGTGCAGGAGAAAGCCCTCATGCATGCAGAGAAGAAGCGGCAAGCACCTCTGGGTTGTTCTCCATCGACATCGAGTGCATGGTGCTGTAGTACATGCGGTCGCGAGTGCCCGAGTCAGGCAGGCTTAGTGAGCCATGAGCGAGGCCACTCGGGACCACCACCGAAGCGACGACGGGTTCTGCAGAGAACGTAGGCAGAACCGGCGCAGCGTTTGTAGGTACGCTGCATCCGATTTACTAACCGCGTGCTTGCATGCTGTCTCTTTACTTAAGGTGGTGGGTTTGCAATTTTGTCCTAATGCTTTTCTTTCTCATTAATTTCTACCTGCACTATTTTCCATAAACTTGCACACGCCGCCGAGGCTAATTGTAATTAATTTCGATAGGATTTTCGAGTTGGTGGCATTTCCTTACAATATTTTTTCTGACCTCTTAAACGTATTGCGGATTCGTTCGTAATCAATTTTTTATACACCCATTTAGTGAAGAGTTATATCTTCGTATGTGTAGGCATTATCCGATTTATTTTATTTCATCTTGTTGTTTCAAGTGATTGGCTGTTGCTTGATATCCCCGGTGTGGTTGCGCTTGATATGCATGTTGACAAGATGCCTACCTGTGTATTACCCACTACCTCGTCCATATGGCTCCACGAGACAGTTGGTCGTTGCTGGAAAGGACAGGGTGCACGGTCTTTGTGGCCGTGTTAGGATCAAAGTGGTTCCATGCACTCAGTGTGGAGCGGACTACGATCCAGCCACCGCCTTGTGTGCGTTTGATTCCCCAAATACAGCGTGCTTGTGTTTGCCTGTGAAGGAGTGTGGGCCGGCTCCGTTGATGAAACGTGGTTCCCATCCACATGCCTCCCGGTCTTATTCCTTCGAGTTTACACTGGATATGGGGTGTGTGGTTGGAGCTGTGGGTGGTGCAGCGCAAGCCATCCATGGTCCCTCTGTAGGTGCAGGCGTCCTGTGGCTGGCCACAGTGACAGGCAAATCCGAAACCGGATGCCGTCCTGTGCGTGCGTATCACCTGATAGATTAACTAAGCTGCGTATACTGACCGGAGTTCGCGGTCATCAAGTGCTGATACCAACAGTCCGGAAGGATAGTAGAATCAGGTAATCGCAATCTGAGTGAATTACCGTCATTATGTCACATTCTAAACTTACTTGTAGTGATCCAACTTCTGTTCCTTCTTCTGCAAACTGAGCAGGAAGGAGCGTTACAAGATCGGCGAAAGATAACAGTTATGTGAAGTCCGTATATCACAAGTGACGAGAAAATGTGCCAGTTGGTTGAAATTAAGCACGGAAATACACATTCGTATAGCGAGCGGACAAACAAACGTACCGGAGTGCATATCAACAACTCGCAACCAGCCTCACAAGCTTTCTGCTGCTCCCAAAGGCTCCCGCCACCGTAGGCACAAACCACAGTCAAGTTATACACTTTAGCCAACTTTTTCGCCTCGGTGTAAATTTGCTGGGCCAGTTCACGCGTCGGGGCACAAATCACTCCGATGGGGCCATCACCGAGTTTCAATGGAGGCTGCGGAACAAATAAGTAAATAAACAAACGAATAAAGTGGCGATTGCAAACTAGAAATTAAGTATTTAAGTAATCTTGTGGGAATGCATTGCATATCCCTTCGTTGTAATCTTAACCCATACATAACAGTAGTAATGCGGTGTTGAATTTGTAAGGTGCAGTAAACATGTCGTGCCGATAAATAGTACTGAGTAATTTTCATTACGTTTTGTTGCACTGTACCGCAACCCTAGGAGTAGGGTAAGTTGGATTTAAATAACACTGGGAAGTAAGCATCATTAACAATATCAGGACTTAAGTACTCTGTATTAGTGGTGTGCTGCTACGTAAACATAAATTGGGAGAGATGACCCTACACAGAAAGTACGAAAAAGTAGACGAAGAGGGGCTAAACGATCGAGATGGACACATTAAGCAAATAGTTATGACAAAACCGAATACACTTTAATCGCAACGCAAACTTCCGTAAAATGGTGTGAAGATTGGGCGATAAGTGAGGAAAAGAAACCGTGCCATATTTATAACGCTACGTTGCAGATAACGCAACAACACGCAGATGTGTTAAACAAGCGGTTCGGTTAGTAGGCGGAGGAAAAATTGGTACATGGTTGGGCACTATGCCCTGTAACACCTAGGATTATGCACAGAAACGCAAGCAAGACGAAACAGATGAGCAACATACATTTCAGTAATCAAAAGCTTCCTTTTCCACTGTTGGTTGATGACCGCTCAGTTTGAACCTTACACCACTTCAGGTTCTGCAAACTAACGAAGGATACAAGCGGTAGGCGACGAGTGGGAATGCGTAACGTGCCCCAATTAGCACAGCAAACAGTACTACACATGAGTTGCCAAAACACTCGTTTGTACAGATTCCAAGTGTTATACCATTCAAAGATGCCGTTGTGGGAAGCAGTGACCCCAGCGATTATCCTTGTCCTTTGCGAGACTCATGACTAGCAAGGCAGTGGGAGATGAGACACGCTACATCGCAGTTAGCTTGTAAGTTATGACAGTCTGCAGTAGTCCCCCGTGACCTAGTGGCATGAGCTGTTGGCTAGTGGCGCAAAGGGCCAATATTGAGAGGTTATGGCTTTAGTTCCTAGTGGAACCGGCGGGTGCGCGCCACTGATGAATCCCAATGGAATGAAACGGCCGTTTGGTGCTTTACCGGATACCTAGTTGGATATTTGACCTGAAGGCTGCTGCGATAAAGTTTCGATAAAACAATTCAGAACCATTTGTTTTAGTACTCATCGGCGCAAGTTATCGCTGCAGACAAGCTGACGCTAATCGAGTAATTCCGAGCAGATAACGGGGAAGAGATGGGAGTGCCCGAGCTTAAATCGATGGGACAAAGTTTTGCCATCGCACAGGAGAATGGTCCTCACTGTTGTCCGGTATTTATGACTTTTAAGATCAAGGGAAACACCGTTCTGTGATCGCAAGTTCACAAAGCCAACATAATTCCTCGCAATATGTCGGCTATTTCCAGTGCTCGTATGCTTGCCGTAACAAATGTAGCTACCAAGATAGGTAAAGTGGGCAAATACCTAGCGTTTCGTATACATTTATCACAGCAATAGCAAGCATCCAGTAGTCTAGTAACAGAACTTTGCATATTGAGGGTGCAAAACGCATGCGAAAGAATCAGACTACTCCAGACAGTCCGTCTATGGCTGACGCAACTGCTTCACGGTCGCCCGCAGTTTTCATCCCAACAGATTAAAGTTGCGTTCGTTACTAGCCGGTGGAAACTTCAGACGGTAACTCCCACCCGCATACACATGCGTGCTGCTCAGGCTTCGAGATCGAACAGCGGTTAGGGGAACAATTTTAGTGCTTCAATCGGTCATCAACCACGTAGAATGACGCCAGCGTGATTTGGATGGCGATCCAAAGTAAGATGTAATCAGAGCGCTTTACAAGCGCAGTTCAGGCAGAGTAAGAGGTCGAGGCAAGCTGGCACCGCCTCTCAGCGGTGTGAGACAAGGTTTCCTAATGTTACCTTTCCTGTTTAACTTCGCCATCGAAGAAGTCAGGGAAACTAGATTAACTGGACACGACTTAGAAGGTGTGGAGCTGTGCCGAATATATTTACCTTATTCGTGAAAGCTCCCAAACGTGCCAAGAAGCAATGGACAAATCAGCTATGGTTGTCAATCATTTCGGGGTATGATTTGCACCCACGAAATGCCAAGTCTTTCGCCAATATTGGCAGGGACCCAGCCTTACGCTAACCCTTGACGTTGACCAGCCAGAAGTGGTCCAGAAATGCAAGCATCTCTGCAGCTCTATCAGCGCCAGTGAAATCGAAGACGAGATGATGAACCGTATAGCAAAAGTTCGATGCGCTTTTGCTAATCTCCGCCATCTGTGGCGCCAGCGTGACATTACTCTCGCTCTGAAGGGCAGAATTTACAATGTAGCCGTTCCTTTGACAACCCTTTACGGAGGTGAAACCTGGCCCATCAAATCGACAGATGTAAATAAGCTAGTTACGTCTGATCATGGCTGCTTCCGCAGCATAGCTCACATCTGGTTGGGGCATCGCGTGAGCGAGTGAACCGCTCAAAACCGTTATAATATGCACCAGGCTCCAAAGGTTAGGCCACGTGTTGCTCATGCCGACTCCCGCGAAATGAGTTGTTTGTGCTACTGGGGCCTGGTTGGAAGAAGAGGAGGGGAGGCCAATCAGTGAATTAGTCAAGAGGAATGAAATCCCTCACTTCGAAGTTGGCATAGGTTGGTGTCTGTTGGCTTTCGGGTTGGAGTCCTAAGGACGATGAACACGTTTGGTTGGATACACTTGTCGCATGGTGAAAAGCCGGCAATAATGGCGTTCGTGTTGTGAGTTTCTTTGCCCCACCCTCTCCCGTTTATCTTCCACCTCCAATCACGTTCTCAGCCGCGATGCGCAATATGATACTGAGCATCCTGTTACCTTTTTGTTTTTTTTTATTTTCTTATGTCTATTCTTAAAGGTGCTGTATCTCGCTCCCAATATATCCCATCTTTTTGTATTATGGCACATTAGCTAATGACGTTAGAAGCTTTCGGCCAAGCTCAATGTGAAACCGTTTGTGATGTGATCGAAAATGGTGCACTGGGAAATGTGCGACACTGCATGCATGTGGACTAGAATTGTGATACCTAGGTGAGGGTCCTTGGAGTGATTGTTGCGACAGAAAGCAACCAATTGTTGAGAACCGTAGACTAATGCGGTAGTATCGGTAACACGATCTTTCTCTCAAGCTCGAAATCCGCAGTTGCAATAAGACACCAGCCGTGGCTTCCTGGGAAGGAATGAAACGATGGCCTCTGTAGCTTTGGATCATATGAAATTCGACAACAAAAACTGTTCCTTTGACATTTCAGTGTGTTCAGCTACCTTTCAGATATCAGCCTTAACTCATCTGGGTGGTCATGCCACCGAAGGTATTGTCGCAAACACTACTCAGCATCGTGCAGCTTTTCAAAATCTATCACTTATAGGGAAGGCCATATGTAAGCTTGTTGGTTAAAAGATGAGTTCATAGAGTTTGTTGCGGCCAGTATTAACGAACTGATCAAAAACCGATGTGCGCTGAGAAGATACAGAGACTGACGGTGTCTGATCACCGATGCTTGCGAAGTATTGCTTACACCTTGCTTACACCCAGAAAGAAGTGATGGATTGCCGTTAAGCCTGTCAGCACTTTCCGGCCCTTCATTAAGTCCGTAAGACGTCTGGACTTGAATATTCAGGATATTTCTTGCTTGCGTACCCAGACCATTCGGGGCTCCCTAGCGTCTTATGGTGGTTATATGGGAGGACTTCGACGTCAGTTCACCTATGTCCTATCCTGAAGACACCCTATGGAACAATGTGTAAAAACCGACCGACATGCACCGCGGATGACCCAGCTGATAGGCTGCAATAGCGCAGTTAATCGTGACTACCCACGAAGTATTGTTGGTGAGGGATCGCACCAGCGTATCCACGACGATGATGTGCATAGGCGAGTACTACACGGTGATAATCAGGCTAGTTGCTTAGAACAGCGAATGACATTGAATAGGTTGCGTTGGCATGAGCGCGTGCAACAAGTGCCCAGTCATCGCTTGCCGAGGAGAGTCTTGCTCTTTTGTGGAATGTAGGGTGGCGCAAGGTTTGAGGTGAGCAGCGGGAACTTAGCAGCGGGAAAGAAATCACTGACGACCAACCTGATCCGTCTAACCTTCCAGGCTGGAGCCCATGTGTCCCACCTTGTGTATGGCTCGAGACGTTACAGGACGTAATTAGCAGTCTGTATCAGTGGCGCAGTTGCTGCCGTTTCCTGATCGGACTGCCTGTCTAAAGTGTCCGATGCCGTTATCTGCGGGCTAATGGCTATGACGCGAAGTAGTGAAATCCCCCGATACCGCCTTATTTTGTTCGTACGTTGTTGACAAGATGTAAGCACCTTGACACTAAATGTTTACTGAGGGCAATACGGTTTAACGCGAGTTCCCCCTTTTCTCCCCCTTCGTAATCTTGCTTTCGTAGATCATTATGGTTGTAAGGCAGCGAAGCTTCAGTTTAAGTGGCTGGTGTATTGCTGCTGCCGTTGTTTTTGTTGTGTTGACCAGGTGAACGATTGCTAGAAGAATGTGTGCCGAGTGCAGCCGCCGCTCATCTATCCGTAATTCGGTACGTGTATCTGCATATTGTAATAAGCAGAAATGTTGTTCACCAAGCTGAGCAAACCAATTGTAAATCTTTCGCCAACAATCGAAGTGACAGCTTTGGTGTGAAGTGGTAGTACCAGCCGTGGCAATAGTTTTATAGCAAGAACTGCACTGTACACAAATCTGGAGATGATCCATCTTAATCTGTAAATTTGTTTGCTGAAAATGTATGTCTAAATAATGCTTGGTGGCAGACCACGCAGCGCCGCGTTGGAGTCCAGGCTAAACTCGGATCGCCACTGCTGGTTGGGTCATATGTATCTGGTGCCTTTAAACCAACTGCCCCCGCGTGCACTCTTTACAGATAACGTACACAACTGTGTGAAAGCCCAAAGTGGCCAATGATCTAGCAAAAAAACATGACGAAACTCCTCCGAAACTGAGTTACGCTACACTTACTCTGACAGCGGCTGCACATCCGAAGCATTGGACGGCTGTTCCATTGTTTCGAGAATCTACAGTGATACGACCGCGATCTGTCAAGGACTACCACTTGAGGCAGCGGCGAAGACAAATAGACCACTAAGGGGGACCTTACCAGTTGTGACCGAGCAAGGTAGTATGTCGCAGCGGGAGATAAGTTGGTGATCACAGAAATCAAATATGAGACCTGTTATTAGCTTATTTCACTCGTTTGAGTAAGCCAAAGTACAACTAATGCCATCGTTGGTGATGACAAATGTCCAGATGGGTAGCATAACGGAGTCAAGTTCGCCAGGAAAGTTTTTCTGAGTTGCTGCCTGCACCTAGCACAATCTTTATTTAAGTGGCACAGCTTCTCAACGCTAGCGTTTGCATCGTGTAACCTGGAACCTACGGAAGGAAACTTTACCCTAGACCCAAAACAACCATAGCGTCAACTATGGGGGATGCATATTAGCATAAAATTGTCTAACGACATAGATGGGGACGTTGACCAAGAAAGCAATTGATAAAAGCGGAATGTACGGAGAAGTTAGCTCACTTAGCTACTATTCAGGTGTCGAATAAACTGACGCATAGCAAGGAGTAGGTCAATGATGATAAATGAGCTGACACGTCACTAACTTCCACCATCACTTAATGGTGATTAGAACTGGTTGATTAGGTTACTTACTTGGACAGCTGCATCACCTCAGAGGTTCCGGTCGGCGAAAAGTTTGCTGAGCATATTGTAAGGCTAGAGTAAGTAGTGAAAGTGTTCATCCACTGCGTGCGTAGTGAGATATCAGCTAATCAGTCAGGGATAAGATGCCACCGCGTGGCCGCATCTCGATGAAGATACAGAGACCGTATGTAGTTGATTACCGGTGAGTTAGGACCATTACTCGTAACTAAGAGGACCGTTTGTCACGTAAAACCGACGTTCGTCATATACCCACTGGTGTCACACCTACCCTGGTCATGTCACGCTCCATACGTTTGCTGGCCAATTGTCTAGATGTCCATCTTTCGTTGGTGCAGTCCCCGATCCGGCGAAAAACCAAAGGGACCGAGTCTGCCTGATGCGTCCCGTCTCCACATAAGTGGACAAGCAACACCAATGGTGAGAAGCCGTATAAGAGTTAGTCCCCTGAGTTCAATCATCTCATTCTATCCGACAGTGATGACACTTTCCTACTCATTGCGACCGACCTCCAATCATCTTTCGTTTACTTTTGGACCTGAAATTGGCTTCACTTCTTAGCACTATTATTATTATTATAATTATTATAATTATTATAATTATATTATTATAATTATTATTATTATTATTAGTAGTAGTAGTAGCAGTAGTAGTAGTAGTTAGTAGTAGTAGTAATGGTATGTGACGCTGCCCAAGGCAATCAGGTCCCAAGCGCATCGTCTCTCGGATGATAGATCCAATCAAACATGAGCAACCGGTGAACAGAAAGTGATGTAGAAATGACAACAGTGAAGCACTTCCTTATAAGAACAAGCAGACGAATTCATAGCAACGGGGTATGGAAAGGTTGCCGGAATGAGTGATAACTCACTTGATCCATCATGTGGATGATGCAAGGCCACAGAAAGGCTGCAGTCTTTCCACTACCGGTTTTTCCGATGCCGATCACATCTCTGCCGGCCATCGCAAGTGGAACCGCTTGTGCTTGTATTGGTGTTGGCTGCGTGTAACCTGCTTTGCGGATAGCATCCAGTAAGGGTTCATCGAATCCCAAGTGAGCGAACGCGCAGACTGGGCGGAGAGGGCTCGGACCACTGACACGTAAACCAAGTTTCTCGCGTAAAGTGGCAACCTGTGCCTCATTCAGTGCGGATATTTCTGAGTGTTCGACGTAAAAATTCTTACAAAACGGTGGATAGTTGATAACCGAGTGATCTACAGGCGGTAAGGGGTCGATCGCCTGGAATTAGAGAGGTAATATTGAGAGATATCACACCGACGAAGAATAAAGACAAGCAGCTACAGCGTACGACGTAACCGCACTTGTAGTCATATGACTATCGGATGAATGATCGTTCCAAACTTAAGAGGGACTCTCGTTCAGTTAGGGAAGGTAACCAGTTATATTTTCACAAATACAGACAAACAGAATTGGACCATTACACACTGGGAAGTTGTGGCTCATATATATATATATATATATATATATATATATATATATATATATATATATATATATATATATGTTACAATAATAGTGGCATAAACCTTTTATCCTCCATCTTAAACCAACGCTCGCCCGACCACTGTCCAATCACCAAAGGCGATGTAAAGAAGGTAGACTGATTCTAACACGTAACTAGCAGGCTCACTTTAAGTTTACAAATATTGCAGTACGAAGACCGGTGTAAGCAAGTAGGACTTTAAACCTTGTCATATCGTCAGTTTAGAGCCAATTTCAGGGTGACCTACCGCATATTATATCTTGGGGACTTTACCAAGTTGAGACCGCTGGTTGATTTGCGAACGCAATGCAGCACAAGCGGACATCGGTACAACCATGTAGTGCCGCATATGAAGCGAGTTCCCCATCCCCTATGTTTTGAACGGAAAGTGGTAAATGTTTGGAACAGTCTGCCAGAACAAGTCGTGGAGGCTAAATCTGTGAAATAGTTCAAAACTTTGCTGTATTTACATTCCAACATCATTCGATTCAAAGAACGATTGTACACTGGCAATAGCATCCCACGTTTATGAGCGCAGAGGCGTTTTGTAATGGAAAATAAAAGCTTTCAGAACGATTAGAGCATTAACAGGTGGTATATACTTTGTATAACACTTCCGGCCATATTCCAAGGGAGTTGAATGGATCCAAATTCCTACTTGCTACCACGATGTAGTATTCGGGATAACAGTATTAAACCATGAGAATGCTCTTGAAGTTTCGGACAATAGTTTTGGTAAGAAACAGATGAAGAAAAATCGTACAAACAATATGAGCCTCCTCAATTTCGTAGGTAATAAACCCATACTCAAAGTTTTATAGTCACGATTCTCGGAAACGGTAAATCAGTGACGAGTGTCAAAGAACTGACACGTTGGCGCAGACTTCAGAAAAGCAGTAATTGACAGTGAAGACTCAGTTTTAATAAATCTCAAGTACACTTTGCTAACCCGATGTTGCGTAATATCGCACGAGGTGGTGTGAAATTTGCCAACTGGCTAGCTGCGTTGGTTAAAAAGGAATCCCAAAGCAACGGGACAAGAAGGACAGCGTGATAAGCACAACTTCTGATGCTAAGCAAAATCTTACTTTTTTCTCGGTACCGATTATGTTTCCCTCAGCGTCGTACTCATAAGCTTCCTCCTCCTCATCGTCAGCAGCGAGACCCAAATGGGGGTTTTCCTCCATAAACCTCATGTATGATTCCACCTCATCTTCTTGTTCAATATCATCACGAATGCCTCTAAAAACACATTACAGAATTAGAAAGGGTATCAAACCGCTGGAGACTAAGGGAAACAAGTCAACAGAAGGAGACATTGGTTGGAAGTCCCAGAGTGACGTTGAAATACAGCAGAAACATTGCAAAGTGAATGTGGAGGATACCAAAAAGGATTATCAACAGATATTGGCCCAAAAAAGACAGCAAGGGGAGAAGATAAATAACCCGGTGTAAAAAAGATAAAAACAAGAAGTATATTTTATCGCACAAGCGCGGAAAGGATGAGTTGTGAAAAAGTGGTCAAGTTATAAATCTACCCGCACTTTGAGTTACAAAAAGAGTACGGATACTGTGGTGCTTGCTGATGATCTCAAGGCCCAAGTCGGAAAATTGTCCTCTGAGGAACTTCATCTGGGCGGTCAACATGGTGTAGGCTAGCGTAATGATAACGGTGAGTGGCTGCTGCACCTGTGTGAAAACGCTTGTCTCTTTCTCGCGAGCACTAACTTTCGACACAGCACCCGCAGAAGAGTGACTTTGTGTCCACTAGCCTCGAACGAGCCATGGATCCAAATCGACCACTTCGCGATCAGCTACCGCTGGAGAGGCTGCAACCAAAACTCTCACTCGATTTGGAGCACCAGCGTGGACTCCGATCACGATCTTGTTTTGGCCAACCTTCGGGTACGTTTCGGCAAATGTCCACAAAGTCGCTCTGAGCGCACTGACACCAGCCAAATGGCGAAGCCGTGTTCTGAATGCGCATCAAGCTACGCTAGCGTCCGGGCTGAGTAAGCGCACACTGAACACCTCCGAAGATCACTGGATGCATATTCGCCAAACATTACTATCAGCAGACATGTCTTGATGTGGCAAATTAAATTGCCAATCTGGACATTGGCTCTCTACACAGTCTCTGGAACGTATGGATACTTGCCGATATATTCCAGCTGGAAGCGGAAACAATGAGACCCGCAAAAGCTCAGGGCAAAACTGCGTGCTAACCTGAAAAAAGAACGCGAAGCCTGGTGGTCTCATCGTGCGTCGGAAATGAAAACAGCCACTGCCGTTGGTAATCATCCTAAGTTATTCCGTCTAATTCGGGAAGCAGAAGAGCTGGTGTTAGCGAGAACATACGTGAGGAGAGTGGACAGCCAATCCACAGCTTGTCAAAACGCTTAGAGCTTTGCGCCAATGACTTTGAAAAGCAGTTTAACCAAACTGTTACCACCTTTTTCGAACTTTGATTTCCCTTCTCCGTGGGCCGTCTCCTTGGATCCGCCATTATGTACAGAAATCGAAGGTGAGACCGGACTGTTGAAACCGCATAACGCCGCGGGGGCAGATAGAATTACCAAGCCATATTCAAATTCGGGGACCTGCTCTTGTACACGATTTACACGAGTTACTAGTGAAATTTTGAGAGCAGGAAACTGTCCCGACAGACTGGAGCCATTATAGTCCCAGTTTCCAAGGGAGGCTCCCGTTCGGAATTCAGTAATCATATAGGGAGCAATCTGATCTCAAGTGTCTCTGTCATTCTCCACAGACTGACTGGCACACATAAAAGCTAGATTCGTGAGGAGCAAGCCGGGTTTCGTCGAAATCGAGGCTGCATCGATCTTAGCTTCACACTGCGTCAATTGTTGGAGCACCGTCATGTATATTGGCGACCCACCGTCGTCGTGCTTCTCGACATCAAAGGTGCCTTCGATTCGGTGGACAGACGTGCCCTTTGGGAATGTCGGCTGAGGAAAGGTGTGCCCGATAAATATGTAAACATTGTCAGAGCGTTGTATGCGCATAGTTCGGGAAGAGTGAGGGTTTATGGCAAACTGTCGTCGCCTTTCAGTATCTCCAGCGGTGTGAGACAAGGTTGCCCGTTGTCACATTTCTACTTTAACTTCGCTATAGAGGAAGTCAATAGAACAGGGTTCGCTGAACACGACCTACTAGGTGTGGAGCTACTTCCGGGTGGGCGACTTCTTGACTTGGAGTACGTGGACGGCATTGCTCACATCTGTGACAGCTCCCAAACGTGCCAAGTAGCACTAGACCGATCAGCATTGGTTGTCAATCGTTTTGGGATTTGCTTTGCTTCATCGAAATGTAAAGTTATTCTCCAAGATTGGCAAGGACCCACCCCTGTGCTGACCCTTGGAGGTGATCAGCTAGAAGTGGATCAAGAATTCAAGTATCTGGGCAACCATATTAGCGCCCGTGGGATCGAAGATGAGGTTACGAACCGTATAGGAAAAGCCAGAGGTGCTTTTGTTATCACCGCCACCTATGGTACTGACGCGAAATCATCCTAACCGTGAAGGATAGAATTTGTAATGCAGCCGTCCACCTAACCCTCTTATACGATTGTGGAGCTTGGCCCATGAGATCGACAGACATAGAGACTAGTCACGTTCGACCATCGCTTGCTTCGTAGCTTAGCTCATGTCTGGTGGAAGCAACGTGTGAGTAATGAATGTGTTTGGCGGCGCGTATTGGATGCAGGAAGAGCGAGGGAACCGCTCAGCACCAGTACACCAAGTACGAGGCTCCGATGGCTGGGCCCAGTGTTGAGCACGCCGGCACACCAACTCCCGCGACGTGCGTCGTTTGCGCGCAGGGGGTGCGGTTGGAAGAATAGGAGGGGAGAGCACCTGATGACCTGGTAAAGCGAAATGAAAACCCTCACGTCAAAGCTGGTGTCGGTTGGTGCAACCTGACTGCCTGCCTTGGGTCAGAAGGATGGTAAACGCGTTTGGTTGAATACACTTTCTAATATGGCTAGGAAGCGGCCCCAATGGCGTTCGTGTTGTGAGTTTCTTTGTTCATCCCCTCCCATTAGCTTCCTTTTCCAGTTGCGATCTCATACAAAATGCATATGTTATTTAACAATTTATTTGAATTATTTGTAGTGCAATATTTTGTATCTTATCTTGTTTTGTGGTATATTAGCTGAGGTGTGGTTTCTCCCTCAGCTAACATATATTGAGGTGCGTTAAATTTGAATATGAACGTCATTATTGAACAGCATCAAAGGCAGAAGCCTTGTGTGTAATGCGCAGCAGCAGGGACCATGAGTAACTCAACCGCAAATGCTACGCGCGGATACTAACACAACTGGGAGCAACGACGAAGATAGGTAAAACAGCAAAATCCCAAATTAAACACAACAGGGTACCAGGGTGCAATCAAAACGCTTACTTGCTCTTAATGGACTTCTTCATGCCAGGTTTCATCGGAGGAGCAGAATCGAGGGTTCGAACTTCCTCCTAGGGGTAAACATTTACACAGTATTTTAGAAAGTTTGATTCGTGTCTAACTTCCGGATCCAAAGAGGTAACATAAGTGACGAAGGGTAAAGAGTGAGTATCAGTCGCGCATGTCTGTCGATCGTGGTGGAGGGGATCCAACATCATCATCGACAGTAATACTAGACATTTATGCTGCTGAGTGAGAGTCATACGAAATTCTCATTATGATATCAAGACCGAGATACGGTAGTGGCGTCTAAAAATGGTAGGAGAGCGACTAGGACTTTCCACTTTTTTCCACTATAAAAAAGTAGGTGGGTACACACAATGGCAGATCGGGAGTTCAACCACTGTACATCATCATGATTCGTTTGAACTAAATAGCACACATAATATGTAATATGGCTGTTACGTATGGGCAAACGAAGAAGTCAAGTAGTTAAACATTGGCCAGTTAAAAAGATACAACACATAAAGAACTAGACTAAGAAGAGCATTAGAAACTCTTTCGATTTCCCTAACATGTAATGAAGAATATAGGTATGACAATCAAGACAAGGCCTTATAAAGATGGTACTGACTGCATGCAGTCCAGTGGTGCCGCGAGGCAAGTGTTTCAATACCACCGTGGGATGAAGACTAACGGATCTTGACAATAGTTCACCTGATATCCCGAGGACGAACTTCGAGCGCATAAGGGTGCGCGCACATCAGACAACAATCTTAAGTAGTAGCCTACCGGGTATCACACAACTGTGGCATGGATGCAAATAAGCAGTATATTTACGCGGAGGGAAGTTTAGGCGGCGCTAAGTAATGGAAGTGTTGTTGGGGCAAAAACAGAATATTTCTTTGAGGTAACAGCGATGACAATCACAAAACACGAATGTCTCACTCGAGTCATCGCTAGCAACAACAATGAATGTTGGATTCGCGCTTCAGTGTCATAAAAGTATAAAGGCTGTGAGTGGGTTGGGAAATGAACAAGGTTTGTCAGTCGCGTCCGAAACAAGAACAATCAAAGAAATCATCAATATCCGCAAATATCCGGCAAAGTTAAAATCCCAAACCGATAATAGATGGTTGGAAATTTGAAGGGCCTTTGTTAGAAACGGTCATAGGGCATAAGTATCGGAAATACCATTTGAACATATCAGGAATATCGACGAACTTTGAGAAAAAGAACCTTAATCCGGTGGAGCATGATCTAGAAAGATGCCAACATTTTTGCATAACTAATGGGGCCCCTTTTTGGTACGGACCAGAATAGGACGATGGACTTGATATCGCATATGAATCGTGTCATTCTTCCAAAGAACATGGTGTGAACCACTGAAGAACAGAACAGATGAAGGGAGTCAACACATCAGTAATATGTATAATAGCGGAGAACGAGCCGCGAAGATCACTGCAACACTTGTTGTAAGTGAAAAGAGCCAGGGTAATTCAGAAAACAGAGATGCGCTTCGTATGTTACGTCGGTAACTAAGCTGGAAGCGCAGTCGAATCAATAATGCACGGTGGATAGAGAAGGTTGAGTACATGAAAAGCTATACCGAACGCCATTAGTATAAGAAATTCTATGAAGTCAGTGTATGGATCCACCGTGCAGCCCATGAAGAAGCCGGTGGACACTGCCCTGGTCGTTGCATACATGGTTGGCGGCATCCGATTCCGGATTTGTCTGTCACAGCGGCCTCCATAGGACAGCCAAAGGACGCCTGCACCTACAGAAGGACCAATGAGTGGCCTGTGCTGCATCACTCACAGCTCCATTCACACACTCCATATCCACTGTAAAAGCAAAAGGAATAAGACCAGGAGGCAGGTGAATAGGAGCTAAGTTTTATTAACGGAGCCCGTCCACACTCATTCAGCAAGCAGAGTAGAAGCATACAAGATTAACTGGGGAATCATGCGTACCAGACGTACCCGAGGCGGTGGCTTAGCCGTGACCCGTTCCATATTGGGTGCATGGAACCACTCTTTGAGCCTAGCACGGCCACGGAAACCGTGCACCCCGTCCCCTCCAGCAACGAATAACTGTCTCCTGTGGCCAGTATAGACGAGGTGATGGGTAATAGGCAACTCGTCAACATGCACATCAAGCGTAACCACACGGGGAATATCAGATAACAGCCAACCTCTGAAATGCAAAAAATCTCGCACGCAAGCACACGTACAGGCCGAATGCAACGATGATGTACCACAGCAAGCGCCACATTGACCTGGGTTAGTAAATTGAATCGGAAGTAGCGAAGTTACCAAGCACTGCGCTGATGAACAAATAATTAGCTTACTTGTCTACTTTTGGACGTTGACCCAATGTGGCGACACTGGTGACTTATCAGGCCCGCTTGGTTGAGGCACTCGCGACCACACGTGATACAGCACAATGCGCTCGACGTCGATGGGTTATCCATTATCGACGCCTGACGCTTCCTCAACCGACGCTTCTTTTCCGCATGAAGTAGTGATAACTCACGTACCTGGGCAATCGCCTTCTATATATGCACTCGCCATAGGCGCCGATCTGATGCCATCGCTTCCAAACATCTGAAATCAACATTAGTTCGTGATAAACTCACTTTGATCATGTCCTGGTAACGTAATTTCAGTTTTCCCACGTGCCGCTTCCCTGCATGCAGTTGGTCATAAAGCAACTGTTTCGGTAAGCAGACCGAATCCGTGAAGCGAATATGCCCGAGCTACCTCAGGTGCCTCGGCAATAGCATACTGTTCACCGCATACATACCATTGCGTCGGAGCAACTCCGTGTCTGAAACTCGGTCAGCCCAGCCAATGTGCATAATACTACGCAGACACTGTTGAGGGAAGTGTTCCAGATTACGGACATCCTTCCACCAAACCGTCCAGGTTTCACTGCCGTAATGAAGAAAGGACAGCACCATAGACTAGTACACCACAGGTTCGTCCCGACAGTGAGCTGGTGGTTGTTCTACACATGACATTCCACTTGCCAAATGCAGCAACATACGTTGAGAGGTTGACTAAGGTCCGTCAAACGGGCCCCAACAGCGAAAGACGGTCTTGCGGACATGCAGCGACAGCATGAAACGCAGAGTACCAACTCAGCTACGAGGTGATGACTGTGCTAGTGCCGATCGGATACCGCGGAGGTACTGAAGAACAGTGGGTTCATAATGCTACAAGGCCTGCACCACTTGGTGGAACGGGCTTGGATTGTAGAACAAGTACTTGTGAACCAGAGGATGTTCATGTTACCATTGTATAGGGACAAATGAAGCAAGTAATGTGCCAACAGTTATAGTGGTATCAACTTGCTAGATTGTGTGAAGAAGGCAATTGCTCAAATTCTGCTCAACCGCCTCGTCCTGGAATCAAGAATGGCTGAAGAGTAATGTAGTTTCCGTTTGGCTCGCAGCAACATAGACATAGTGTTCACGGTTCATCAACTGCAGCAGAAGTGCCATGAGCGAAACTAACCACTGTACTCGCTGTTCGTCGATTTCACTAAAGCATTTGACAAGATGAACCGCGAGGCACTGTGGCTGGTTTTGGGTAAATTTGGTTGCCCAGATAAGTTTGTCAGTCTCATTGAATGTTTGCATAGTTGTGCACGCGAGCAACGGTGCAGCTGTGCGGATAAACCTTAGACAACTGTGATGTCTTTGGTGTGCAGCAAGGCTGCATCTTAGCTCTTGTTTAATAATTGTGTAGCTGCCGTGATCTCTGGTGCTTTTAATGCATGCGAATAAGGTTTCCGTGTCCAACACCGCATCGTTACGGGGCCAGAACCCAAGTGCGCGAAGCAACCATCTGGATGCTGCTGTCTGCAGACAATAGCGCGTTGTCTGCAGACGGCAACACATGAGGACAGCCCTCGCTTCAACGGCCGCCAAGTTCGGACACAAACAAGACTGTCTATTCAGGCATCGACATGAGCGGATTCTATGAACTGCCTACAAATCAAGTTTGCCGATAAAGTTCTGGAGATCTCATCAAAAGTTTGCTAAATCGAGAGCACACTGTTAACGGATCAACAAATGACCAGCAAACTGCTCATCCACATATCGAAGGTGTATGTGGTCTTCGGCAAGCTAGAGCACTGGGTTTGGAAAAATCAACAACTGACCATTGGAACCAAGCTGGTGGTACACAAATCAATGGTACTCCCACTGCTTCTCTACGGTAGCCAAACACGCACGCTGTAGGCATCAACAGTACGCCGGTACGCAGTACCGACGCTTCGCTGCCACGCAACCATCCATATTCGCGCGTTGGCTAAGGATACTGCGAGGGTCACCCGGTCCCTACTCAGGCTCGAACCCGAGCCCTCGGATTATAAGGCAGGCTAATGATCCTAAACGTCACAGGCCGCTGCACTTGAAGAAGAGTAAATATTTGCAGCGAGTTCATCAACAATGCCTGTGACGGATTCTGTGAATCATACGAAAATGCGCCGCCGGAATGATATGTACGGAGTGTATGGCATGCTGTTGTTGCGACACGGGTGGCTCGGACACGTCCACCGAATGGATACGACCGGGATACCGAAAGGCCTATTGTATGGCCAACTTAGCAAAATATAGGTAAACGGAAGCTAAGTTACCAGGACATTATCAAGGTGAGTGTATCACGAATGTTGACATTGGGGTATGTGAAGCAATGGCAGCGGATCGTCACCAATTGAGTGATCACATCAAGAATGCAGTAACTTAGGAGTATCAGAAAGGACTATTGCATCAGGAAGTCAAACGGCGACTACGCAAGGGACAGGTGCCAACATAACCCAATCCATAGACGTCAGGCACCTGGCGTTGTAGCCTATGCAGTCGTATGTGACTTAGCCGAGCCGGTCTTGTAAGTCAGCAACATGGAAAGGAGGCCAATATCGAAGGGAACTGCGGGCATGTTGAGTGCGCAAATGTCAGAGCCTATTAAGTAGGATGTTTCCGTTTTCATTTACTAACCCAGGCCAATAATGTGGTAGATGTGGTACATATGCTACATCATTGTTGCTGCTGGTCTGTACG